TACATACATACATACTGCACCTGCATTTTCTTCGCAAGCTCTTGCTCGTCGACATGGCTGTCAACGTCCGTCTCCACATCCCCCTCGCCGTTCACCTCGGCCCCCGCCCCCGCCACGACCGTCAGCGGCAACGCCGCGACCCCCGCCAACACGCCGGCCGCGCCGCCGGCCACCGCCGTTGTCGCTGTCGGCTCCCCCTCCACAACAACAACCGTTCCCGCGGATGCTTGTTGTTGTTGATCCGCCGGTGTTGCCCCTCCCGGCACGTTGTTGTTGGCCGCCGGTGCCCCTGCCTGTTGGCCACCCGCTGCGGGGGCCGGGGCGGGGGCGGGAACGGGAGCGGGGGCGGGGGCGGGGGCTGGGGGTCCCGCGGGAACGGCGGCGAGAGCGGCCACGGCCGTCGCCTGTGCCTGCTGCAGCTGCTGCTTCTGGGCCTGCTGCTGCTGGTGGAGCTGCTGTCGGTTGAGGTGCTCCTGCTGCAGCTGTCGCTGGTGGAGCTGCTGCATTCGCTGCGCGTGCTGCTGCTGCAGCTGTTGTTGGTGCGCCTGTAGGGGGGAGGGATTGGGGGAAGAAACAAAACACGAGTTTTGCACATTCAAAATGCGGCTACATCTACGTGTGTGCGTGCGGGTCTACTTGTGTTTTCGTTCCATCCAGAATACTTTGCGTGCCGTTCTACCCCTCTCGGTATACGTTCAACAGACCAGCCACCGCCCCCTTATAGCAGCATCCCAGGGATTTGTGGGAGGCTGAAACAAAGAACGAAACTGGCCCAATGATCGGCCGGGCCGTTCTGTGAAGGCTGCTCAACTGCCGACGGTCGTTCCGAAACCCAACTCTCCGGTTTGGGCCACCGAACACGGAACAGTCGAAAGAACGCGACAAAAAAACAACACGCTCTTCGAGGGGAGAAGCACCCCGTTGGGCAAGCAAAGCGACCCTAACCCTAACCTGCTGCTGCTGCGCGGGTTGGAGACTGATCTGCTGCTGCAGCTGCTGCAGCTGCTGCATGTGTAGCTCCTGCAGCTGGGTTCGCTGCAGCTGCTGCTGCTGGAGGTTGTTCTGGTGGTTGGTCTGCATCTGCTGCTGGTGCTGGGCTTGAACCTGCCGACGGCGGGGGTTGAAAACAAGGACGGCACGCAGGAGATGCCACAGCAGATATACGTTGCATATGCATTACAGGAGACGACACAACACCCCCAGACGGAGAGAACAAAACGACCGTTGACCGTCAGCAGGACGTGACTCCTCAAGCAAGCGAATCATTTTGATTCGCCGCGTTGGCATGGATCACATCACTCAGGCCCTTGGCGAGGAAAAATTCACCCCCCTTGGGCAGCAGAAGCGAACGTTGTCTTTGGAGTTGTTTCTAGAAGGAGCTCTCTGGTTTTACCTCTGGTTTTACCTCTGGTTTTACCTCTGGTTTTACGTTCACAGTTAGTCACTTGTGTCAAAACCTTGCGAGAAGCCCGAGGTGCGGAATTTGGAGCGAGAAGGCTCATTTGGATGCACCTCCTGCACCTCGATGGCTCTACATGTACACAGAAAAAAAAAAAAAAGACTATAAAACACGTTTTTTTTTTTTTTTCGTAAAACACAACGAACTAGAGACCTACGAGTACATTTACAGCAGCGACCAAAAGCGACAAACCAGGTACCATGAGTGACAGCCCTAGAGGCTGGTTCGGCCCCAGCACCCCAGACTGTACCTGTTGGTTCTGAAGCTGGTGCTGCTGCTGCAGCTGCTTCAGCTTCTGCTGCTTGAGCTGCTCCTGCTGCTGCTGCTGCAACTGCTGCTGCCGCAGCTGCTGCTGCTGCTGCTGCTGCTGCTGCTGCTGCTGCTGCTGCGCGTGCTCGGCGGCGGCGGCCGCCCCCCACTGTCCGCCGCCGCGGCCGCCGCTCAAGTGCGGGTGATGCTGCTGCGGCAGCTGCCGACCGTACTGGTCGTACCGCGGCGGGGTGATGAAGCTCGGGTAGGCGTACATCCTCTCTTCGCGCCGTCTCGTCCTCCGTTCCTGCGGCGTGACGGCAGCGGGACAAACCGTTCGCCGCATCAACCGGTCGTTGTCGCCGCGGTGGCGGCGTGGGTGTACACAGACGTAGCAGGCCGGTCAATACACGCAAGGGGTGGGGGCAAGGGTGAACGAAAAGGGGTTGACACATACCACACAGCGGCAGTGGTAGTTTTTCTGCAGGGAAAGAAGGCATTTCAGGGCGCAGGAGATCCGACAACGCGGACGGGGGAAGTGTTGAGTACCGACGTCTCCGCAAATCCTGCTGTACAGAGGGCAGCGGGGGTGACACACCCGCACGTTGGCATACATACACACACACCCAAAACAACAGCACAAACCACAAAACGCAAAACCAAAACCAAAACCATGCACGCACGCACGCACGCACCTCACGGAGCGCCAAGTACCGAGCCCGCCACAGCTTCTTGACGCACCCAGCGTGCGCCGCGATGCGAGCCTCAAACGGGTTCCCCTCCCTTCTGTTGGCCTGGGAAGCGTAGCAAGCCTCGGGCGAAGACGACGCCGGTGCCGTCCCCGCCCCCGCCCCCTCCCCCTCGGTCGGTGCAACTCCCGTCCCTCCATCCGCCGTCGCCGCGGCGACGGCCGTTTCGTCTTGGTTGGCGTCGTCGACGTCCCGGCCGGAAGCATTGTCGGAGTCGGAGTCGGAACCGGAATCCTCGGAATCGCTGCTGCTGCTGCTGCTCGACGACGACAACGACTCGTCTCCCGCGCGGTCCCGGGGGGTGCGATACAGCCGCCGCAACCAGCTCGGCGAGAGCGCCGACGACAGGGTGGCGGCTCCTGGTGCACGAGAGAACGACAAAAAACAAAGAAGCATCAGCGGCAGTGACAGCGACAGCGACAAAAACGACATCGTTGTCAAGCGAAGAATGATCGTATCGACAACATGGCTAACAATACAACACCAGTCTCACAAAAAGCAAGACGTTACCAGCAACGAACGACGTTTATCGACAACATACAGCCAACAATGCCCCACGAGTTTCACAAAGCACAGACGAGAAAAGGAAATTTCTGAACGGACTTCAAGTAAGACAGAACATTTACATTTCTTGTGGCTGCACCAGGCATCGCTTTCATGCGCGCTACACACGGTGCTGACTTTCTTCTTCTTGCCAACAACAGCGCAAAGAAAATTTATGGCCACGATGGTCGGCACGGCATCCTCCTCACCCTCCTCTGGCGTAGTCTTGACGACGTCGGCGGCCTTTCCTCGCCTCAGGTCAGCGAACCGCGGCAGCAGCTTGGCCGGGAGCGTCTTGAGCTCGGGAGGAATGATCACCCACATCTCCCCCCCCCTCGCCCCCCCCTCCCCCTCCTTCGTCTCCTCGCCGCCGTTCGCCAGCAGCGGCGCCCCCGAGGACGACAGGGAGTCGACGGGGTCGGATCCGGCGGAAAGTTCGGCTCCGCCGCAGAGACAGCAGACGCCGGCCGCCTCTTTCACATCGTCGGCACCTGTTGTTGTCCAGTGACGTTCGATGCCTGTCTTTTGTGTGTTCCGATAAAATGTTGGGTGGACTATTTTACCGTGTTCCGCACGACTTGCAACGACTAGACAACCTAATGTATGATAAATAAACTGAAAGTTCATGTGTTGCATGTAAGACAGCAGTAGTAGCGAAACACCGATCGACACATCTGTCTCTTGTCCATCTACACAGCAACAAAAGTACGCTCGCTCGCTCAACACGTTTTGTGTTCTGAAACATTATGTGGTGAAAATAATATCGGGTAAATGTAGAGGGTTGTATGCAAGACATGAGCAGCAACAGCACCCAACTGCAAGGGTTTTCCACAAGCTTGGGCGCCTTTCTTGCTTGCTCCCAAACATGAGATCTTGACTCGAACACTTATCGTACCCCCCTCCCGTCGCCCCGCGCATGCGCGCGCGCGGGAAAAACGAAACGGCGTCCCTGCAGGCACAGCATTAAAAAAAAACGCCCACACAAAGATTGGGACCAACGTCTGCAACTGCTGCTGCTGCTGGAGAGCGTAGGGTTCTGCGGTGCTGTCACGTCTGCACCTGCGGGGACAAGCGCTAGCTCCCGGACGGGCGCTTCGTCGTCTCCCGGTGCCTCGAACTGCGGCTCTTCGCCGTCCGAGTCGTCCCCGTCCAAATCCCCAGACTCGCTGCCGCCGTCGCCGCCGCCACCGATCTCCACGGCAGCCCTCTCTCTGGCGCTTGCGGTTTCTTTCACCACGAGCACCTGCCGGTGGGGGGGGGGAGGGGTGGGGTGGGTCGCCAGGAGCCGGGTGAGGGATTGAGAAAACTCGAGACTGGCCAAGAAGGGAAACAAAAGCAGATTGAGTGTTGTGCGTGTGAGGTGGAGAGTCACGGAAAATTGTTGACGAGGTCAGGTCAGAGGGAAGCACCACCACGAGGGAGATGACACACAGACCACGTGGTGAAAGGGAGAAACACGCCGAGATACACAAACGCGACACACGGAGAGAGAGAGAGAGAGGAAGAGAGAGAGAGAGAGGGGGGGGGGGGGGGGGGGGGGGGGGCTTTCCCCCCCAACCCTTTGGGTGCCCCCCGGCGGGGGTTTTTCCAAACCCAATTTTTCCGGGCGGGGTTCCTTGAAAAACTTTCCCCTTTTGGCCAAAAACCGAGGGTTCCCTTTTGGGGGGCCCCCCCCCCCCCCTTCCCCCCTGAACAAAAACCCCTTTTTTTCCCCCCCCCCCCCCCTTGGGTTTTAAAACCCCCCCCGGGTTTTGCCCCCCATTTTTCTTTTTTGGGGGCCGGTTTCCCCCCCCCACCTTTTTTTAAAAAACCGGCCCCCCTTGTTTTTCCCCCCCGGGGGCCCCCTTTGGGGTTCAAAACTTTTTTCTTTTTTTGGGAAACCCCCCCCCAATTTTTTCCCCACCCCCCCCCCCCTTTGGG